GTCAGTGTATCTCTATTACGTTTTGATGAAATTCAAGAATAAAACATTAAAGAAAAATAAGGTTGGTCCAATATTACATGTCAAATATATTATTGGAATTACTTGCCCATAAACATGATTTAACCTAGTCATAACAAGAAACTGATAATTGCATTCCATGATGACTGTGATTTACCATTGAACTCTACACTACACGTAGTATGGAGTTCAGTGTGATTAATTTCAACCTTATTAATGTTGTTACCCCAGCCCCCCCCCCCCCCACTCCGTGAACGGAGGGATACCATGAGTGTTCCCAAAATGTCCGGTAAAGGGGTACTTTTCACGCACCAAAGTCCGGCTCGTAGTAGGCCTACACAAAAATTCGGCCCGTATTGACTTTACACACCGGACTTAAGGGGGTGCTTTCAAAAGGAGGGAACATGCGTATGGGTACCCTAAATAACACTGAGTGGGGGGGGGGGGGGTTGCTACAGAATAATGGAATTTTGTCACAAGTGGAAAGACGTTTGGCATTCCATAAGACCGACTCGTCCCACTTAGTTTCAGAAGATGAATTGAGAAACAGTGGATGGAGGTGGGGAGGGGATTGGGGTCTTTTCATTGTTGTTGTTGTTTTTGTTGTTATTTATTATAATTTGTATTATTCTAAATATTATCATTGTCATCATCATTATTATTGTTGTTGTTGTAATCACTAAATTATCATTATCATCACTGCCGTCATTAATTATTTGTAATGAATATCGCGCTTTGTTCCAAACTAGCATTTTCTCTTTGTTTTGGGGTTTTATGTGTGTTTACTCTTGTGTCTATGAAAAGGATCAATTTTCTCTTTGGAGATTTCTCTTGTGTGTGTGTACTTTTATATCTTTTCTTCTTATTTAACTATCCATGGACTGGTTTGCGCGCCCGGTCAGAGTTCCTTGCATGCTGCCTTTAAACAAAGGTTATCCCTGGCGACCTGCCAGGGGCTTGCCCAACGTGGCAGCAGGTTATTAATGCAGACTGGATTCCATGCGCTGTGGTCCCTTCATTGACGACAGGTTGGTGGAGTGCCTCATCACACGGACCCCGGGAAGGAATTTTGTTTAGGTGCGTGAGCTGGTTTGTTGTGGGATCCAGTTGCACAGAATTTGATTTAGGGTGTAATTATTCTTTTGAAAATCTGTTCTTTAATGTACCGATATTCATTACTTACGTACCTAACACACATGTAATGAAAGGGTATAACACAAAGTTTTCTTTTCTTGTTTTCTTTAAAGCTATGTGAAGTAAAGCTAAACTTCATTAGATGCTAATACTATAGATAAAATTATATTCAACTTCAATTCATATGTCGTCGTTTGAGTTTATTTTGTAATACTTGCTGAATATAGCATGAATTTGTGTAATATATTGATAATGAACAAGATGACATTCCTATACTCCCGTTTTCAATAATTCAGTTTTCCATGTTTTAACTTTAAATGTTACAAATTTACAATTGCATGCCATGCAGATAATCATTCCCTGATTAATTGAATAATTAGTACTTTGTTCTGTTTATTGCAACTGTAGTTCATAGCTATTACTTCATGTAAATATGTAAAAACTATGTTCCTGCTTTATCTCATGAGGAATTCTTTCTCGGTTCTGCTTCATATTTGGATCATTAGTGGAGTAGAGTTGGGAACATGTTGGTTCATGAGAAACTAAATATGATATTACTTATACTTATCATCAAGAAAGCAAATACGTTTTCAGTAGTGCAGTGGTGCCGGAACAGAGTGTTTTCATCAAAGGTTCCGTAATTTTAAATGTACTTCATGGTTGAGATGCTCAAAAACTAGTGAGCTTATCATTATGAAAGTCAATCATTTAGTAAACGCTTTAGGATCTCATCATTATTCATTCTTATTTTATGCATTTCATGTTAACTTATCATTATCTCTTCATTCCATTCTCTTTTTATCTCATGATCACTACCACCAACATACTAGCACGGCACAGAAACGTTACACGCACACCAGCCAATATACATTTAATCGAAATAAATTGGTAATAACAATGTTCAATAATAATGATTTAGACCTGTAATCCATTTCCCATACAAACAATGTATCCTCTGATAGTTACTATTACACAGCTGATGAATTTACCTCTAGTTTAAAAAAAACACGTAAATGCTAGAAGTTTAAGCGAAATTTTGATTCTCTGCAAACATTGCTGCATACTCTAAATAATTTTCCCTTTTCTATTATTGGTGTCACTGAAACTTGGCTTTATAACACTTCGCCTAATTTATTTAACTTGCAAACTTATATATTAATCAGACTAGATCGCGAAGAAACAAGAGGCGTGGGTGTCGCATTTTACAATTCAAAATCCGGAAAGAAATATCGTTCAAACAAGTGAATCATTATTTTTAGAAACCATTAATCCAAACAAAAATCGGCGGATTAATCTATAGACCCCCTCATAGTCATAACAATTTACTTTGTGAAGATCTGAATAAATGCCTTCATAATCTAACAGGAGAAGGTAAACACTTATATTTAATGGGCGACTTAAACATTGACCTTTTATCTCATATACCATGATACACTTCTTCATATTACTTTTTCTAATTATTGTTATCCACATATGAATAAACCAACCAGAATTGCCGGTCAATCTTAAACCCTTATAGACAATATTTTTTCTAATATCTTTGATAAAAACATTACTAGTGGATTAATATATTCTGATATATCTGATCATTTGGCAATTTTTTAAATATGTAATAATGAAATTACAATGAAATGAATCAAATGCAGGTATAGTTAACGAAACTTTTAAGACTAAACTACAAATATATTATGACAACAATTTCCCTCTAGATTGTACAATCGATACACACAAGGAATAAACTATACCGTGCGTCCCCCCAAAAAAATATACACTTTTAATATGGCTGCCGAATAAAAAAATATATGATTCTGGGGGGAAAGTTTTATATGTATGGAAAGCTCATAAATCCAACTTTCATATCACACCAAAAGGTCCGAAAATAATTAATGCTTGGGTGAGCACTGCTCACTTTTGTAAAGGGTATTAAAATTAGGTTGCGCATGAATTAGCCTTTCAATTTGTGATAGGTAAATCCTTTGGAGGATGGGGTATTGGTAGACTACATGTTGTAATTTCCATGTTTCAAAGTGTTTTTATTTACATTTGTGACTTTGAATAAAAACCTTCACCCCACATTTCAATTATTGTAAGATTAGTTGAACATCTCATTGATTTACTTAATACCCGGGTAGGGATTACGTAAATTGAATATTCGAATACGGTTTGTTGAAAAAGGGAATGTCCAGGATGCCCGTCGGCTACTTATTCTTCAAGTTAATGGTAACTGAAATGTGGGCTGATGTTTTATTCGAAGTCACAGATGTAAAAAATAACAGTTTGTAACATGGAAATTACAACATGTACCATCACCCCATCCTGACTCCCATGAACACACCACTGTGTCTTCCAGGGAAAGGTACAATGCTACAATAAAAAATGAAATTCCTGTTCACTCATGCATAACAGTTTGGTTTGATAAACCATTAAGTTCACTCAGCAAATCATGAATGTATCGTATCACCCTCAATTTTGTAAGCTCCAAAGGATTTACCTCTCACAAATTGGAAGGCTAATTAATGCGCAATCTAATTTTCATACCCTTTACAAAAGTGAGCAGAGCTCACCCAAGCATGATTTATTTTCGGACTTTTTGGTGGCATATAAAAGTTGAGTTTATGAGCTTTCCATTCATATAAAACCTTTCTCTCAGAATTATATATTTTTTATTTGGCAGCCATTTCAAAAGTGTATAGTTTTTTGGGGGACGTATAGTATAAGGCTTATCTAACGAACTCAACTACTCATATAAAAAAAAATATATATATAAAACATACAGAAAAAAAATTAACTAAAATCATTCGAAATTCTCGTAAAATTTACTACTCCAACAAACTTAATTGAGTGAAATCAAATATGAAATCTCCCTGGGGAACTATGATTACATTGAAGAGAAAAACTTTTAAATCGCCCAGTGATAATTTTACAATAGATGATATATTAATAAAGTCTGAAGATGTAGTAGATACATTTAATTCCTATTTTGTAAACACAGGACCTAGTTTAGCAAATAAACTTAATACACCGAACGAAAATGTTACTACATTTCTTCCTAAACCTCAAATTCATCACTGTTTTTAATCCCACTGATCCTAATGAAATAACCGAAATAAGAAAAAAAAATCTAAAATTAAGTAAATCACAGGGTCACCATAGAATTAATGCCTTCCTTCTTAAACACATCATACATTTCATCGCTTCTCCTTTAACTCACATTTTTAATCTATCAACTAATACCGGGAAAATCTCCCGAGTCCTTGAAAATTGCTAAGGTAAATCCTGTTTCTAAAAAAGACATTCCTCACGGAATAAGTAATTACAGGCCTATTTCTATTCCTCCCAGCATATCCAAAATCCTAGATAAGATTATTTACAATAGGCTTTATAAGTTTTTAGATACTTTTCATTTCCTAAATCTAAATTGATATGGTCTCAGAAAAGGACACTCAACCGACCAAGATTTAGTACAATTATATGATAAAGTAACGAATGCTATTAAAGGAAAAGACCAGTTCTGGTCATGCGATTGCATTGTGAAAGAAACGTTGTGGAATCGATCAGAAAAGGTTGATCATCTAGCATATAAGTATTGGTGTGTACTGCAAGGTTCTGGAATCATCAAAATGATAAGAAATTTGGCCCATTCTTCGAAAAGTTACAAGCACTATACACAGAAAGATGTATATGGGAGTACCCTATTATCTCTCACAGTCAAATAGATATACTAATTTACCAAATATATCAATTAGTAGGCGGTTTCCCGGCAAATATTATTGTTTATCATCATGTATTAGTCAAAACATATTCTTTCACATGGTTGGTAATGAGAGCTTCCATTTCATTTTTTGAAATTGGGGCGTTTCCAACGCTGGTCTTTACCTTTAAGGCCAATAAAGAACATGTAATAGGAGTATTCATGGATTTATCAAGTCTTTGATACACTGGACCACACAATGTCACTGAAAAGGCTTTACTATTATGGAATTCGTGGGGTTGCACCGTCATGGTTTGAGAGCTATTTATCTAACAGAAAACAATATGAAGTGTATAATGATGTTTTTTTATAATCTCCTGCTTACCAAATTGACTCAGTATAATCAAATCAGTTACGCAAAAAAAAAGAAAAAAAGAAAAAGAAAGAGAAGTGTTGTATGGGTGCATTCTTAGCCGTTAACTCTATTCACCTGTCACTATGATACCATTATTACCAAGCGCGTCATTACTGATATAGGGCTACAGCTAGATTCACTAAATTGATGAAATCAATTAATTTAATTTTGAAATAGATAAGGAAATATGCAATTGATACAAACAATATACGTGATCTGAAATAGTATAGAAATATAAAACGCCTACAAAAAAAAAACCCATTTAACTTTGGCCTGGTAAAAGGGGATCGAAAAATACATAGATAAATTGTATTAACTCTTCTAATTCGGATGACGTGTAAATTTTAATGTGATGTAACCTTGAACATCGTAATAATAGACTGACTCATTACGATCTTAATTCAATATCAGTAAATAGTGCAGTGTCCCGCGTGTTTGGATATCGATGGAAAAGTGTCTTCGTGTAAGGCCATTATTTCATTATCGAAGCCATTTGTATAGGAAGATGGTGCCAGTTATGAAAAACGCAGTTGTTTTGACTAAGGAGGACTATGATGTTTTATATTTCCTTAGGTGGGTAGATTTGCAGTTTTTTTAAATTTGATTTGATTCGGTTTATTGCAATAAAAGAACGTGCAGCTGGGAAGCTGAGATTGCTCAATTTACAAAGTCAATGTAAAACACATTCAACGATCAAAATATGAATGTCTAAAAACGTACGACCCATAAATCATGCATTATGAAACAAAATGAAACTCAATTTGACATCAGAATCTAAATATATTACAAATATTAAAAACATTAAAAGACTTATGTGTCATCAAAGGTTACAAAAAGGAGAGAGAGAAAGAGAGAGAGAGAGAGGGAGAGACGGAACTAGAAAGAGGAAGAGAAGGAAGAAGAAGAATGAAAGAAAAGTTGATCAGAGAATATACGAAAGATTGGAGGAGAGGGGTAGAGAAGGACAGAGTAGAAAAAGAAAAGTAGAAAGAGAGGAAAATTGTACAGTCTTGAGGTATGTTTTCATTCAAAACAGGAAAAGGGAATGCTAGTCTCTCCCTAGTGCACCTGAAGTTGAAGTATGATTTTTAAAAAATAAATTAAAAAAAAAACAGTTTGAAAATATAATATATTAGAGTCATTAAAAAATTTCGTTAATTTTTAGACAGTCAAAAGAGTAAAGTTATGCCAATCCCGCAATACATCCAAGTTCAATGCAAATAATTTTGTAACTCAAAAGGACAATATGCAGATTTTTAAAATGTTATATTCACTGTTACTACCAAAGCATCACAGTACATGTAAAAACTGGCAAATTATGTATTGTGCGAAGAAAGGAAAAAAAAGAGGTGATAACAGCAGAGGAAAAAGGTAAGAAAACAGAAAGAAAAGGGAACAAGATGAGAACCAAAGAGAAGAGGAAGGAAAAGGGGATTCACACAAAGCAAGAGTAACATGACATATCACGGATTGTAACATCCTAAAAGTACAAGGATAATATTATCAAAAAGATATTGCACGAGGTAAAGTATATAGTATATTACACTGAATAACAATAAAATCAAAGCTATTAGAGGATAGGTGCAATATAACAACAACATATTAAAGATTATGTCCTTGGTACAAGTAAGTAAAGATTTGACAATACACCAATAGGCAATAAACTTGCATGCACACGTATAGTGATACCCAGTAAAACTATTAGCTTATAAGGAGAAAAAAGAAAGAAAAAAAGATAAATGTGATGTCACTACTGACATTCAAGGAATAGAGAAATCATGAATCTTATAAACAATAAAGAGGGAAAAAGATACGCGTAGAAGAAGAGAAGGGGAGAGGGAGGAAAGACTAAAGGGAGGATAAAATAGGGAAAAAATATTAGATAAAAGAATAGGGAATATCTTCGATAAATAGATTTGCTAAATAAAGTGAACTGCAATATAGATTATTGAAGATCATTGTATATTTACGTGAAATCTCACAAAAAGTACCACAGCCATAACAAGTGAGAGAGAGGTCCTACAGTATTGCAACCTCCTTTTCTGCCTAATGTTGTTTTGTGTCTCTTTATCTACGGTACCGGGCAGATAAATGAAATTAACTGATCATTCATACTGTTCACGACTGTTTTGTGAGGATGAACGTTGGAAACGAAGTTTTGAGCAATAGTCATGTCCCAGGCATCAATGAAAGCCACAGAAGGATAATCGCTGAAGAGCGCCCTCAAGGAGAGGTCCAACGATCTGATGTACCATTCACTGTTTTGCAGTTGATGAATGACCTGACTGTGCTCTCTCGTGTTAGCACTTTTAATAATCACCATCGTTCTTGGACTTCTGACGTGTAGTCTGCGAACAGCGTCTTTGATGTCTCTAATCCTCTGCTCGTACAAACTTAGGGGGAAAGTTGTAAAATGCTGAGAAAGGGAAAGGAGGATAACTGACCGAGCATTCACTTTCAAATCGTCTAGTTCATTGACGATGTAACTTGCAGTGTCTCTTCTTGTCATGATCGTGGGACGGAGAGGAAACCCATGAGCTTTGAAATGCACTGAGATGTTCCGCTTTCCGTCCTTTGCGGTCAGAGGACCCGACCTTGCTTGGCTGGCAAATTCAGGTTCTGAACCTACTAGGTCGGGTCGGTAATGCAGTGAAAGATATTCATACAACTGCCGCGCCGTCGAATCGCCGTATATATGGATATCCTTGTTGCGAAGACACTCCAAAGCAGACTTCTTGCTCAATCGGCGGATGTGACATTGGTCGGAGTACCATATGTTATGATGGTAAAACCCTGATGGAACTTTGTTGTAAAGATGCTGTCCCGGTAAACAAGATGGAAGAGACTTCTGATAAGTTTCCTGGGCAAGTTGCCAACCTGAATTTAATCAATTAAAAATCAACATACACGGTTATGTTATGAATATTCAATGTGAGACATAATATCAAGACAAACCCATCAGAATACCGTATTGATCATTCGATTCTATCAGAAAACCGCCTTCAAGGCGCTGGAAAGGCATGGGGAAGTTTGAGCAGTGTGGTGTATATGACCCCAAACATGCCAATGAGACTGAAAGCTCAAGTTAACATTGTCAAGAAGATGGTCCGCCCGGTTACATTATAATTATGGAGGAGAGACGTGAGCAGTAAAGGAGGATCACGTGAAGAAGCTGGAAGTTGCAGAGATGAGATGTCTGAGAGGTGTGACAGGAGTGACAAGAATAGAGAGGAGGCGAAATTATTCTACGGTCACAAAGGTTCGTACGAACGATAATTTCGTACGTATCTCCCTGTTTTTCCATTGTCTTCCCGAATTTTCATTGTCTGAAAATCGTTCGTACGGCGTTCGTAGCAGTTCGTAATGGCATTTGTGACCGAGGATTTAAGTACGAAAGGAAGTAAACGTGACTGGTGGTACGTTTATGCTCAGTTTTGGAGGCAGAATGAGCGATTTGAAACGCTCATCGTAATCGCAGTTCCACGGTGTACTGTTTATGCTCACTTCTCCGGCTCCTCAAGGCATGATTCTGGCTCAGAGCCAGAATCATGCCTGGATGAGCCAGAGAAGTGCAGTGCAGAGTCTGAAGTAGAGGTCAGTGCGTTGACCCCATTTAAACGCGTTTACAAATGATTGTGCGTTTATGCTTCCCCAGAATCGTCGATCCAAAACGTACCATTTTGTGAGTTTACGATCGGCAATTACGATCACCGTTTTTCTGTGATTCTACAAAAGTGAGAAAGGACGCAACCGTGTTTTGAACTAAACGCGTAACAAATGCCTCACTCCGGCCAGTAAAAGTTGAGCATAAACGTACCCTGTGATGGTATGGGCACGTGGAGAGGAAATGTGAATGTGAAGTGATTAGAAGGGCAGCAGAGAGAAAGGAGAAAGGAAGGAGAAAGAAATGAATGCCCAGGAAGAGGTAGATACATTGACTTGAAAATGGCTACAGAAAGAACGAGATGGACAACGGTAACGAGGAGACCCGACCCATCCCCCTCCCATAGAAGGGACCCACAGGAAGATGATTGGGTAATTATCAGTATTCATCACTTAACTGTCGGAAACCTATGACGATTCGGTCTGACCTTTTAACCTTTGACTTGTTTGAAATACAGTGATTGGATTCTAATAAATGCAATTATTCAGAATAGTCCTCACATAAAATTCACCTGAAAATCACGATTCAGATATGTCTATTAAAGGCACAATGTCCCTTTTGCAGCCAACATCAAATTATGTAGAACTTTGCAGGAATTATGAATATGTCATGTATGTCATAGCTGTGAAATTAAAAATTTAGCAGTGTCCTAATATTCAAATTATGCAAGGAAACACGTTTACTTGCTAGACTTCACTGTCAGACACTATTGAGTGACTGACTGGATTTGTTTTCTTCTTTGGTAATAACATACATAAAATGAGCTGTAAAGGGTACATGAGCATTTGTCTACATCAATAACCCACTTCTTGTAATGGCCAAAATTAAACTGATTGAATCTTTGCGCAGCATAAAACGTACGACCATTCGGTACAATGGTCTGAAAATCAAGACTATTACGTATTGGCTCTATAGCTCGGAAGTCGATTCAAGTAATAGTCGTTATTTTCCCACTTAAAGACATTTCCAAGCCCCCTATTTTTAGGGAAGTTCTAAATTAGTATGATCTTTCAAATGCCGTTGGAATTTAACCTTTTCATTTTTTTGGCATGCAAAAGGGACATAGTACCTTTAAAGGGAAATCCAACCTTCGTAATAAGTTCATTTCAATGAAATCAGGAAAATAAGAAAAGCAAATCGGCGAAGGTTTGAAATAAATAGGACTAGTAATAAGAAAGTTATGAATATTTCAAATATGAGAAGACTAAGTCAATGCGGATCTCCAATTGGCAGTTTAGTTATATTGTGACGTAGTCCCGGATATCTCTCCAGTTTGTTGTGTACAAAAGTAAAATCAATTTCTGTTTTTTTTTCTCCCGAGCGCCTTCTCCCTTAGGCACTACCCGAAATATATTATGGATAGCATATTATCATGGGTCCTCTAAAGAAAAAAAAGACCCTCCTGATTCATGTATTTGAGAAATATAGTGTGTTGGAACAAAAGGGAAAGCTGTCCGCCAATACATCACAGAAAAATTACAGACTCAGCCAATTTGAGGAGCCCATACCTGTTATTACAAATTTCAAAAATTCATTACTTTCTCATAATTTGTCCGATCTCATTCAAACTTTCACCATTCTGCTTCTCTGGTTTTTCTTGTTGTTGTTGTTGTTTTAGTCTTAAGGGCGTGTGTCATTCAATTATGAATATTTACGCCTACTTTCCTCCAGAGTAGTTTGCTATCAAGGACCAGGTTGGATTTTCCTTTAAACTGGAAAAACATTTGTGCGATCGTTCTGTACGTACCATCATTTTTATCGGCAACATTTAACTCCGGAGTCAGGATTGTTATCGGTAGTTTGTGTCTAAAAAAGGATCGAATGCCGGTAAATGAGTGCAAGGAAATTCAAGTTGTTCATGACGTAAAAGAGAGGCAGTATTACATCAAATACAAAGGTTACCATTTAAATGATTATTTTCAGTCTTTTTCCACTGATTGAGTATCAAAATTATTCTTAAAGATTGATTGTTTCGACAAGTTCAGACATACAGTAAAAAGCCGTATCTTGTGACGGAATGAAACGGGTGATGTGACTTAAATATCAAAGTATCATGCATTCTACATTTATACATGCGGAAAACAATAGAAAAGACTTTGAAAAAATCAACCCAAGGGAATTATGTCAAATCCCATAGAAATCCTCGGATTACGTTACACGTCAATGTAATGTGTTTGCATGTTTCAATAGACCAATTCATATTTAGAACACGACTCAAAAAAACCCGAGTATCCACAGATATTTTAAACATAGAGAAGTCCCACATTGTGCACTTAAGAATAATCATCGCCAAAGTTTACATTAATTATTATTACTCATTTGACCGGATGGTCAATATAACATCAAGAAATGACCGAGGGCGAAATAGGGTAATTACGGTCCTCGCAATCGATATCATGGACCAATCACAACTTAGTGAGCACTAATTTTTTTTTTGGTCCTCGAAAATTTGAAAAATCGCGCCGGCCGATAATTGGCTCAGTGGAGGGGGGGGGGGGGGGGGGTTTAGTGAGCACTTATTTTTATAATTTTTATTTTTGGTCCTCGAAAATTCGAAAAAATCGCACCCCCTCCCACCCCCTTGAGCGCCAGGGGAGGGGGGGGGGGGCTTCTCCACGGTTTTTTTTCCCAGGGGGAGGGGTCCGGGCCTGCCGGCCCCCCTGGATCAGCCACAGGGAGAGTGACAGGCGCGTACGCGGGGAGGCGGGGGGATTTGGGTCGAACCCCCCTCAATTTTTTTTATGTGTGTGTTTCAGAGGATACCCGGCCCCCCTCACTTTATTTTTTATTTTTTAAAAAAATAGGGTGACCCCCAAAAAGATGACCTTACACCCCCCCCCCCCCCATCCCCTCTTATTCAGCGGCTGGCCGAGTCGTTGCGAAATTCTCGGCGCGATTTTCAAATTTTAACCCCCCCCCCCCCCTCGCAAAAATCCTGGGTACGCCCCTGGACCCAAAAAAGTTCTTTTAACCCCCCCCCTCCCGCTTATTCAGCGGGTGGCTGAGTAGTTTCGAAATTTTAGGCGCGATTTTCAAATTTTAACCCCCCCCCCCCTCGAAAAAATCCTGCGTACGCCCCTGGAGAGTGGTAAGTGTAGATTAATGTATTGGAATCAAAATTACAAACATATCTCTCATACCCATTTAAACGACACTTTGTAATTGTTCCAAGGCACTCTAAACCTGTCGATAAATTAGAAAAATAAACTTACGTTTTGAAAACATCATACTCCCCTTTTTTGAGTGCATCTAAAGTGTACTTGGAAGACAACGACTGATGTATCTGATACGAGAACCAGTCCTTGCAGGTGAGCTCTTTCTTAGAGGGCGCTACACAGAACCAGGGGTATCCTGTTCGTTCATCCGTGTAGTTACAAAGCGATTTCTGTCAAACGAGAAACATACCGTATTAACGAAGAATATTATACATATTTGGAGAGGACAGTTAATTAGCTAGAAGGAGATCAATGCCTCTGATTATCGCTGACATCAACTCTCCGATGAAGTGAGTTTCGACATTGAGGGCGTTTTTTAAGTAGAAATTAAAGCCATGTAGACCCCAAAGCAATCAGCATTGGATGTACGGGCATATATCCAGTTGTTATAAGACAATGAAAGACAGAGCCTTTCCTCAAGCCCCTGTTCCAAAAAGTTGGTTGTGAAATAAGTAAACCTAATCTTCAAGGTTCAAAGTCGAATTAGTACCAACTAATGATACAGAATCATATCTTTGTTACCGGAATTGAATTTGTTTTCCCCTTTGGATAAAGAGTTTCTAGTTGCGTTTACTTAAAATGAAGAAAAAGATCAAATTGTTTTTCATACATTGGCGATGACTTTGAGAAGGCATGTGAGATCTTCGTTGACCTCTGTCGAGTTCACCTTCTTGGAGTAGCGGCCGAGGAATACAGTTCTTCCAGGTTCAATGTTTCGGATCCTCTTTAGAATGTCTACGGCCTCACGGGGATGCACCAGGGTCGCAATGACCCTGACCTTGCCTGGCCATCGGAGTGTGACTTCGGCGGAGTACGTGCCATTTCCGAGGTCATTTGTGACATCAATGCTTGAAGACGACTCGGTCTCTTTCGTGTAGAGCTTGACCCGGAAGTAGTCGCCACCTGAACGCTTGGGGACGCCTTGACCATCGCGGGCGATGATGCGGATCTGTATGACGTCATTGACCTTGTACGTACCCCTCACATTGACCACCTCGGCAGTTGAGTAATTGCTTGTGCATGAGATGCAAGGCTGAATCGTAGCCGGACGTGGTGTCGTCGGTCTCGTGGTGTTTCCATTAGTCTGTTTCCCTTTGATGCTTGACTTTTTTACTGTCTCTCTCCCTGTCACTGACTTGAAGATCTGCGATTAAGAAAAGATTTATAATCATAATCGAAAATTACCCATTGAACATTCCATTATTAAATACTGTACACAAGTGATACAATTTATTCTATCTATTTTGCCATCTCTACCCAACTCCTCTGCCTACTGGTGTTCCTTTTCTACTCTTCTACAAATCTGATTTCGTGAAACTTAACAAACTCATGCCCCCTCCTTTGTTGAAGTACTCTAAAAGTATCCCCTTTTACAAAGAAAAATCCCTTTTTACTTCAGATGAGTGCCCCTTTTTCTTTCCAATAGGTGCCCTCTGATAAGTGCCCTCTATATATAATGACAGACTTCACCTCTGATAACTGTGTCTTTTATTTTGAAAGTGTCCCTTTGTCGTTCTTATAAGTGTCTTTTTTGTTCTGATACGTGCCCCTTTTCTTTTATTAATAAGAGCCCCTTCCCATTCTCAAAATGCCCCTTTTCACCTCTAAATAATGCTCCTATTAAAATCTGATATGTGTTTCTTTTCATTTGACAGGTGCCCCCTTTTCCTTTGTAATAAGTTCCCCTTATAATATATAATCAGTACCCCTTTTTCTGATAAGTGCCCTTTTAATTTTGACACTTGCTCCCTTTTCAATTTGATAAATGGCCCTTCCCCTTTTCATAATTATCCCCTTTTCACCTCTAATAAATGCCGCTTTCAAAATATGATAGATGCCCCTTTCCATTTGTATTAAATGCCTCTTTTCCATTCCTATAAGTGCCCCCTTTTCATCTCTGGTGAGTGGCCCTTTTTCAGGCTCGAGAAATGACGAACTTTTACGGCTGATTATTGCCCTTTTACTTTGACACGTGCTTCTTTTTTCTTCTGATAAGTGCCCCTTTCCCCTTTAATAAGAATCGCTTCCCCTTCTCATAAATGCCCCTTTTCACCTCTGATAAATGCCTCTATTAATATCTGGTAGGTGTCTATTTCCTCTTGTATTGAATTGATATCTTTATTTAGACATTGTTAAGACCGTGTATAAACCGCGCCATTTCACACTCGAAAGGTGCACAAGGTGTTTATCTCGAATAGCGAACGGAAAACTAAAAGGTTACCAACCCAAATGAAAGAAAAAACTCATATTTTGATAACGGCCAAAGAAAATGGCGGTCGACTTTCATTAAAAAAAATTGCAACCCAAATAATCCATTTTGAATCAAGCAATGAAAAGGGCTAACTTATAGACCGTCAATACTACTGGGCCAGAAGGGATTAGACCACCCAGCCAGGTCACTGGCAGGTGGCTATCTCATCAACTCAGCTCTCAACTAACATAAGAAAAAGAGGATCATGGGGGACCAACAGGCACCGATTGGGGAAGTTTTCTTTATAGAGGGAGCAAGTAGCTACAAGCAGGACAGTGGGGCTTTAAGTAAGGGATTCGAGAGAAGCCAAGCTTGAGTCATTATAACAAATATAATACCATAAATTTTGCTGGTAATAAGCCTTCCTGTGAGTATGAGTTGACCTTAATACCTCTTCTCTTGAAAAGCCTAAGCATAATGTCAATATTAAAGTCAGGAATTAGTTTTCGAACTGAGATAACACACGCATAATGGCTTTGACTCACATTCATTGCTTCAAGTTCAGCCCAAACTGACAGTACTTTTTGAAAGGCCTGCTGCTAAGTCATTCGTGGCACAGAGATATGAATATGTTTTTATTAAACTGTGCATAAGTTACCCTTCTTCATTATCTACTATATAAGGTTACATAAGTTATACATTTTTAATTAGGAGCCACCAAAGTTTTGAATACTTTTTTTATACGCACTGAATATGATCTATAAACTTGTTTGTACTAGTTTTGAAAATGATTTTGACTAAATAAACATTTTGTTCTTTGGAGGTAGCTGTGACAACAAGTGGCTCCAACGATTAATTTGATTAAAGGTTGAAGTACATTCTCGCCTCATGTTAAGGACACTAATTCCATGTAGGAATATGATTTATGAATCTATGAACCGATGCACAGTTAAGTGGGCCAGGGAGGAACCAAAGTGCGCCAAAACTCATGTTTGGTGATTTATTTTTTTCAATTGATTTCTTGCCCAATTGAATGTAATACATTGAGGAATACCTCAGTAAAACATTTAATTCCGGTATGCACAATAAGGGTATATATTTACTCCTTCAAACAGCAAAATCCTACATAATCTTCATAGTTTTAGTGCAAAAGTGACTTATTTTATAAATCTTTCAATTCAACATGAAGTTTTTAAGTTATTGATAGGAAATTGCTCTCACATATTCCTGATAGTTCATTTCGTTGCATGAATGGGTTAAAATTAATAGAAACACAATCTTCATGATATATTAAAGGGTAATTCACTGAAAAATGGACTAATTATACATGTCTTTTTTTATGAATCCAGAGGAAATGTTTAGATGTTTTAGAGTTCCGTTTAAATTTTAATACCACCATTTTCTCTGATGTCTAAGCTTTAAGTTGATACCAAATTTGGCTGCCACATTGCCCCGATTTTTTTTTTTTTTTGTCCGCGGCTGAATCATGAAGGATTAGCGGTCATAACATCACGGCGCGTGGGGGCACGTGACACTTGTATTAACACCGCGGACCAAAATAAGAATGTGAAACGGGCACCTATTAAAAATAAAAAAAGGAACTTATCTGAAGTAAACGGGGCACCTTTTATATGTAAAAGGGGCACTTTAGGGGTACTTGAAAAAGTTGGGGCACTTTGCCCCCCCCCCCCCTGCTCGATCCCTCTCCCCGGTTCCGCCGCTTCCGCTACCCACTATTACAAATTACTTGATAGCTTAAATCAATGTTCTCCACACTCTGAGCACCAAAGATGATCAGTTAATATCTCACCCATCACTGATCAAAGTGTAAACAACATAATAAAACACTTTACAAACCAGTACTACATAATCGCATAGCAGTGCAGTGTGTTGAGCGTTTGTCCCTAATCATGCATATAGCCCAACCCACGGCAGTGCTTTTTGCGGCAGTTGCGTGAAATGACGATCCTACCTTCTACTTGTAGGCTACTAAATAAGCATATTTTTTTGCCTGAAAGTATAATTTTCAAAGTGAAAAAAAAAACACCGCAAAATCATGTCATTTAAGGAACATTGGTAAATCACTGGTATCGAACTAGAAATAAAGCACGTTGAATTTGATTTCGGGCAACTGCCCCCAAGCCGCCCCCCCCCCCACACACACACACACACCATCAGTATGCCAGTGGCGTCACACCTATCCCAAACTCATTCACATGTCATTGCCCCGAATCATCCAGTTTCTAAATGTTGAGAGCGAGTGAAGCGAACTATAGCGTTGTATCATATAAAAGATATAATCCAAATTCAGGCACCTCGTTTTCAAATAGGAGGCTATTAGGGCACCTCATTGCTTGTCAAAAAGTATGGATGTATTCAGGCACTTCGCTTCCAGAAATCATCATGTTTTTAAAGATCGCGAGCGAGCCTGCCGAAGCGATCGAGGTAGAAAGACACTTTTAACCTTAAATGCTATTTTCTCATGGAATTACGTACGTTAGAGGTTACTAATATTAATTTTGTTTTTCACGAAATCGATGTTATTCCAAAATAATGATATTTTTTCTTCCTTTTCATAATTCTATTTTATTAGTGATATCATCTCGCGGCACCCCTCGAGATGTCTTGCATCACACCAGTGAGCCGCGGCACCCCGGTTGTAAAACGTTGATCTAAACTATTCAGCTATTCATTGTAGTTTGAATGAACCTTTAAAGATATTATGTCTCTTATGCAGCCAACATCAAATTCCGTAGAATTTTGGAGGAATTATGAATATGTCATGTCCTATCTGAGAAATTTAAACATTAGCAGTGTCCTAGTATTCAAATTATGCAAGGAAACCCGTTTACCTTCTAGACTTAATTGTCAGACACTATTGAGTGACTGACTGACATCTCTTTTTTCTCTAGTAATAACATACTTAAAATGAGCTGTAACAGGTACATGAGCATTTGTCTATATCAATAACTCACTTCTTGTAATGGCCACAATTAAACTGATATAATCTTTGTGGAGAACAAAACATACGGCCATCCAGTAAAAGGGTCTGAAAATCAGACTATTAGGTGATTGTATTCACTAAAGTCGAATAGACAACAACTGATCGTTATTTTCCCACTAAAGCCATTTTCAAGCCCTTTCGTTTTGAGGGAAGTTTTAAATTAGTATTGTCTTTTAAATGCCGTTGGAATTTAACCTTTTCATGTTTTGGCCTGCAAATGGGACATGGTACCTTTAAAAACTCAACCTTTCCTTACATACCGGTGCTCTTAGACTAGCCATTGACCTGCTGGATGACATCATTGTTCCTGAGAACTGTACCTTGTACGGCTGGACAAGAATGATGACGGCGACAATCACCAAAAGGAGAGAGATCTTTTTAGACAAACTTCTCTGCATTATCTGGCTCACAGGTTCTGCAAGAGACAGTGATATCGAGGAGACGTTGTGATAAGAATTTAACTAATACTACTCTGCAGATTTGATATACTGAAAACTTGAAAATATCGGCAACATTTTAATATACAGGGCGTCCAAGAAAAAAACGAAACCGAGAATTACCGATGTTTTATCACTTAATCACAATTATAAGTAGTAAATTACACATAAATGTAAAGCTTAGATCCTCCTCTTTCTTTTGATGCAACTCATATGATCAAAATGTCACGCATGAGTGATTAAAAACAATTTGAAGAAAGGGTACCAAAAAGTCACGGTATCTGAATTCCAAAGAGAAAATCACATTTTCAGAAAGTTCATTTTCTACCCTTTCATATGACACCCCAATCAGGAAAATGAGCTAGGATTAACAAAGTTCTGTTTGTTTAAATTAATGCTTGCATTTCCATAATTTTATTAAAGGGATAGATGAGTTCTTGTTTCAGACCGCAAATGTCTTTAAAGTGAATGGTTATTGCTCTTATTGCCATTTTAGGACCTAAAATTGCTACGAAGGTAATTTTAGACCCCAAAATAAGTTTAATTTAGCTAATACGATCGTACCAATTCAGCTCCAATTTAAAAAAATTACGGTGACCGTTAATTAATTAATAATAACAAAACATGGGCCGGCTGGTTGTGCGTTTTATAACCAATACGAAAAAGCCAACAAAAAGCCAACATCGGCATTGGCTGGAATAAAACGTACAAGGCGCTATTTCGTTTTTTCAACGGCTGGTTCAAATTATCTAATATTGTGCTGGTACACAAATATTAGAAATGGTTATATTTAGCCGTCTATGAATCGATTTTGACCAAAGACGATTTTGTCATTTCAATTGTATGTTCTTTCATATTTGACACTCAGTTTCTCATTATCTCACAAAAATATTATTTTGTTTAGCCCTCTGCAACAGAACTCAACTATCCCTTTAAACGAATTCGTTTTCACTGGCTGCCTGCAGTAGTAACAAACAAAAAACTCTGTTTCGTCGACGATCAGCCATGCATGAAGTCTGTCGTCTTGTTTGTTGTTAGGGCAGACAGCCAGCTATAGTGGAACCGATTCGTTTATAAAAAAATAGGGAAATGCAAGCACTGTATCCGCACTTTGTGCGATTCTGTGTTCACTGCAAACTCAGTATAGGAATAGGTGTACAGTAGCCAACTTATATACATGATGGTGGTACCGCTTTAATATAGGAGGATACTCCTGAATAAGTAATGACAAAAACAAAAAAGAGTTCGCATGAAGCCACAAATAACGTACCGAAAAAAAAACGAAAAAAGAAGAGCGGTACTAGATGCCCCATCCCCCAGCTACACGAAAATACTCACATAAAAACACACGTCTTCATTATTTTGAATTGACACCAAAATTAAGTCAAAGTATATCAGTTATAAAACTAAAAATGTCACAAATTATATAAAAGGTATTAGTTGATAAAACCTTTATAAATCCAAATGTTCAAATTTATTGGGAATATTTTTTTGGAAAAAATTATATGGCAAATATATTGAAAATGAATTTGACACACGTTAAGGAAAAAGGATTTAAACAGTTTAATTTCAAACTACTCTATAAGTTATTAGCATGTGAGGAATGTCTATATAGTTTCAAATAATCTGATCATGATTACTGTTTGAAGTGCAAATGTTCAGAAAATTATTATCATTTATTTTACGATTGTGATTACTCAAAAATATTTTGGAACAAGGTCTTAATTTTTCTCAGAAAAAGAAAAGTTTTGTTTGATAATGAAAAAATTGAAAACAGTGATATAATTGTAGGCAAGCAATATTAAATAATTCAAAATATGTAGTTTTTCCAAATCTATTAATTAATTTAGCTTCTTATGTTTCACACACAAAAAAGATAATGTAATTTTACAAACATTTCGACATTTATTAAAAGGACATATTATTGAGGGCAAATGTTGATAAGTATCACCTCTGGAAAGAAAAAAAAATCATTATGAAAAAAAAAGAAAAAAGAGTATAATTAATTTTGTGATATAAGTATAATTTATGTGTTTTTCCTTTGTAATCAATATAATTATGTGTTTCTTATGTACGTATTATTCGATTGATAAATGATGGAAAAAATTATAAAAAAATTACCAAGCCTGTGCAAACGAGCATTTATTAAAGGGAAAGTTTAGCCCGATAAAAGCAGATAAATGAGAGAAATAAATTATTGAAAGTTTGAGCAATATCCAAATAGAAATAGAAAAGTTAGAAGTGTTTGAAGTTATCATCAATGAAACAAAATATGACAAAACTGTGGCGTATCTTACAAGCTCCTTTCCAATTTGCTCCTTACAGAAAATATTATAAACTTTCACTTTCTTACTTATTGATAACGGACTAGATTTGTTTCATTCAGGAATTATATTAAACATATTTGCAATAATTAAATTTAGAGTGAATGTATGATTGAAAATATAATTTGCCGATGTTTTTTTTTAAATACAGGGCCGCGAATGGGAGGAGACCTCGCAAGGTTCTTCATAGAGTTTCCTTTTTGTGTTTGAAAATATTATAAACTTTCACTTTCTTACTTATTGCAGTCCCGTCTATTCAGTTTGTTGTGTGCGACCATTGAAATCTCAGAATGCGTAACAAGAAGAAGAAAAATAAGCCAGGAAATTTCTATACTACGTACCACAAGGCCAGGAGCCACCAGAGACATGTTTTATTGCCCATTTCGGCATTGACGAGGCGGTACAAGAAGCAAGAGGCATGCTAGCTGGTGGGGGCAGCATCAAAACACCCGCGCTCGATTATGGGCAGTTTGACTCTGAGCAGCTAAGCAAGAGTATGGCTGGAGACAGTCAAATCTCTCACATCATCCTATCCAAGGCCGTGGATGCAGCTATTTGTAAGGGAATGAACTGAGACGAGTAGCCGGAACACTTCGGACAATTAAGACAGATCGATGACAATGGCAGCCTGAGGAGTTGAGTGCTCTTTATTCTGTCTAGACACACCGCTATAAGTATAAGCGGGGTGGAAGCGGGGTCAAATTATATAGACAGTTATCAAGAGTGATTTACGTTTATCTTTCTAGGGACAATTATGCCGTATTTTGTTAGTCTGCATAAATCTTAACAATCCGATCACATCTCACTTACATGTAAAAAATGAAACTGGTAATTTTGTAGATAATTGGGACAATTATGTAGTTTTTGTTGTTGTTTGTATTTTTATTGCTCGTGTGGAATTTCTCCACATTTCAGGATATATATTGTATTTAGGTTTAGCATAGCCTAGGTTTAGATCATTCCTATTTATCGTTATACATTAGATTTGAATTGTTGTTTTGTTGTAAAAAAACAACAGAAAATGCAATAAATTTTCAATAATTTATTGCATTTTACCCCGGTTCCCAACATAAAAAAATCCTCTGGACGGCCATGCATTATGGCTCAAGGCATGAGCACACAGAAAAAAAAAATTATGTTGGGAACCGGGGTAAAATGCAATAAATTATTGAAAATTTATTGCATTTTCTGTTTTTTTTTTAATTTATGGAAACTGCCCCCTACCCTAGCCCCCGCTGCGTACAGTCATGGTTCAGTGACAAAGCAATGGCCTCGTAACTGTGAGGCCCCAGGATCAAAACCGTGTCGATGTGCTATATTAGTGCCCTTTTGTGGGGCATTAATCCTCATTACTGTCATTAATGACTTAAGGGCATAGGTCCCCTAGTTGATAAGCATAGTAACATACACATGCTTTAGCAGTCACGCAAAACACACATTGGCAAATTATTATTCAATAAAATCTGAGAATGTATAGTATTATCTAGATCTATTATTTTTAAATTATTTTTGAAATAATTCCATGAATTGGGATTTAAAAAAAATATTCCACTTTTATGAGCGACAGTGTATTAGATCATGTTCCTCTCTCTAACAAAGTTAAACAATGTTATTATCAGAATATTCAATGTAAAATTTCTGTGTCAACTCTTCATTCTTTATTATAATGTCACCTTTTTTTTCATTCAAATCATTATCATCATCAGCATCGTCATCATCATCATCATCATCATCCTCTTCTTCTTCATCATCATCATCATCATCATCATCCTCTTCTTCTTCATCATCATCATCATCATCATCATCATCATCATCCTCTTCTTCTTCATCATCATCATCTTCTTCATCATCATCATCATCATCATCATCATCATCATCATCATCCTCTTCTTCTTCATCATCATCATCATCATCATCATCCTCATCTGCATTGTTAATGTCACCATCATCAAAATTTGTATTTTCAATTACCTATCCGTTCTGCTTAATAAATGTGTCAATTTATTTCATGAGTGTTGTCTGGGGCTGTCGTATTATCAAGCAATCTGCTAACAATTACATAATTTTATAATGTTTGAGGAAATTTAGTATTTATTACAGTTTATCATTTCGTTTTTGAAAATAACAATTGTTATATATATATATATATATATATATGTGCTTAATTATGATTAATTTTCAGCAAAATAATTATTGTACTTAATATCATTATTGTTATCCAAAAACTGTGTAATGATGCATGAATGCAGAAGAACATCAAATCAAATCAAATAAAAAATTCCGAAATTCTGATTGACTCAGTATAAAGATATCAGTTACGCAAAAAAATAAACAAAGAAAAAGAATTGTTACTGCTACCATGATACCATGTCACCAAGCGCGTCATTACTGATATAGGGCTAGAGCTATATTGACTAAATTGATAAAATCAAGTAATTTAATTTTGAAATACATAAGGGAATCTGCAATTGATACAAACAATATACGTGATCTGAAATAGTATAGAAATATAAAACGCCTACAAAAAAACCATTTAATTTTGGCCTGGTTAAAGGGGATCGAAAAATACCTCTTCTAATTCTGGTGACGTGTAAATTTAATGTGATGTTACCTTGAACATCGTAATAATAGACTGACTCATTACGATGTTAATTCAATATCAGTGAATAGTGCAGTGTCCCGCGTGACTGTTAGGATATCGATGGAAAAGTGTCTTCATGTAAGGCCATTATTTCAATATCGAAACCATTTCATGTATCAGGCATAAATGTTCATTTCTATTCCGACCTATCTCTATTTCCTTCTTTTCTAAGCGCATAGGGACTTTCTTTGTGTTAGTGATATGCACTATACAAATAACGTTACAAATAATAATATTATTATTATTATTAGGAAGACGGTGCCACTTTATATTTCCTTAGGTGGGTAGATTTGCAGGGTTTTTTTTTATTTGATTTGATTCGGTTTATTGCAATAAAAGAACATGCAGCTGGGAAGCTGAAATTGCTCAATTTACAAAGTCATTGTACAACACAATCAACGATCAAAAATATGAATGACAAAAACATACGACCATAACTCATGCATAATGAAACAAAATGAAACTCAAATTTTACATCAACTTTATCACAAATATTAAACAAATTAAAGGGATAGTTGAGATCTGTTGCAGAGGGCGCTACACAAAATAATTTTTGTGTGAGATAATAAAAAAACTGAGTGTCAAATTTGAAAGAACATACAATTTAAATGACAAAATCATCTTTGTTTGATCAAAATCGGTTCACAGACGGCTGAAATATCCATAAATATAACGATTTCTAATATTTGTGTACCACCTCAAATATTCGATAATTTGAAAAAGCCGTGGAAAAAACGAAATAGCGCCTTTTACGTTGTATTTTAGCCAATGCCAATGATTTAATGATATGTCTTGATAGAGTTATCCTCCCAGAAAATTTAGGTACCATTTTCATTTGAATCCCTTCACGCATGACTGAACATCAAACAATCTTTACAAGACTGCCATATTTCACTTGCGCCAACTTACTGGGTGAAGAATAAAACAGTGCATTGAACAAAGACAGGCAGACAGACACACACACACACACACACACACATACACACACGCACATGCAATCATACACACACACGCACACGCATTCAAACACGTATTGAGATAGCACATTGGATTCATGTGCACTTCATGATGATGATGATGATGATGATGATGGTGATGACGATGATGGTGATGATGATGAAGATTAAGATGATGATAATGATATGATGGTGGTAGTGAATGTGTACTAAAGGGAAAGATTGTCATGGAAATGCCACTTAAACATTCAGCGATATTGATAAAAATCAATGCTTAATCAAAAAAGGGGAAATTATGAAACAATTCGTCCTTGTTTTCACGAAGTGACGGTAGTGAGGAAAATCGTAACGCAAAGTGAATGCAATTTTTTTTCACTACCGTCACTTCGTGAAAACAGCGACGAATTGTTACCGTGTGTGTTGTGTGCGTGTGTGTGGGTGCGTGTGTGTGTGTTTTTGTCTGTCTGGTTGTCTTTGTCTAAAACACTATTTTATTCCTGACCCAGCAACTTGGCGCAAGTGAGATCTGGCAGTCTTGTAAAGATTGTCTGATGTTCAATCATGCATGCAGAGATTCAAATGAAAATGATACCTAAATGTACTGGGAGGATAACTCTATCAAGACATAATTATCATGAAACCCATGATTAAATATTCATACTTCAAACAATACAACTTTTAAAAAGTGGGACATTGTTTCTGACTCACTGTGTATAGCTTATGAGAATTGTTATGACATGATTTTAAATGTGTGTGATAAACATGCCCATAATGTGACCTTTAGCAATTCAAAGAAAAGATCTACACCAAAAAAGCATATGATATCAACAGGTATTGTTAAATCTATTGGGAAGAAGCATAATCTGTATTAAAAATATAGGTCATCAAATTGTAATGAAGAGTATGGAAATGAATACAAGAAATATAGAAACATGTTGTTAACTATTATAGAGAATGCTAAAAGAATGTATTATAGCGATTCCTTTAGCGAAAATAGAAATAATATGAGAAAGACCTGGGGAATTATCGAAGAGTTAATTAGTGGAAATTATAAAAATAAGAAAACAAAGATTCAACAATTAGTTATTTGTGATGAGGGAACGAATGAAGTTGTGTATTCAGATGAGGGCATAGCTAATGAACGTAATAACTATTTTGTTTTTATTGGGTCAATTAACATAAGCAAAGAAGACTCGAACTGTTAATCTTGATTTTGAAAACTCCTTAGCTAGAAGAAAATAAAAATCCTTCTTTTGGAAACCCATAAAAGAAAAGGAAGTTTTTGATAATCTAAATGCAATCGATACTAAGAAATCCCATGGATGCAATAACCTATATTGTTGCACCACTGACGTACATATTCAATTCATCGTTAGAAATGGGAGAGTTTCCAGAAGCATTGAAGACAGCAAAAGTGACTCCTCTATAATACAAAAAGGACCAAAGACCGACCCTGGAAAATACAGGCATACTTCTGTTCTTCCGGTCATTACAAAAGTCTTCGAGAAATTTGCTAATGGTCGTCTAATAAATTTTGTAGGATCTAACAAAATTTTGTATGAACATCAGTACGGTTTTCGCAAGTGATAGAGTACGAAGTTTTCATTGATAAACCTTGTAGATACAATTTTAAAATCAATGGGTAAAGGTATACCAACGCTAGGCATTTTTATAGATTTTAAGAAAGCATTCGATACTATTGATCATGAAATCCTTTTAGGAAAGTTAAATTATTATCGTATATGAGGCATAGTATTACAATGGTTTCAAAGTTACCTTTCAAATCAATCGCAAGTCTTATCCTACAAGGAAATAATATCAAGTAGGATAAGGATAGCATATGGTGTTCCTCAAGATACAGTCCTCGGGTCCACTTTGTTTTTATTATATATTAATGATTTACCATCTTCTGCTAAATATTTTGAATTTAGATTATTTGCTGATGATTCAAATCTATTACTTATTACTTTTGATAAAAGACAGAAAATAGATATGAATGAAGAAAATATCCAATTTTTGGAAGTTCAAAAATGGTGTTTTGTTAACAAGTTGACAATAAACTTGAAGAAAACGAATTCATGTGAAATTAGGGGTGTATTAAAAATCAGTGATACGGTGATAGATAGAGTCAATGTAGCATCTTTCGTAGGAATTCAAATTGATGAAACCTTGATGTAGAAGAAGCAAATTCAGAACATTAATAAGTGTATACGGAGGAAAATGGGAC